ACAAAGGAGGGAATTTTCCGGGAAAAAAAAAACAATTCCCGCACCTCATCCTGCCCCGATCCCAAAAAAACGGGCTGGAGCTGCTTCCAAGGCAGGGAAATGGGATTTTTAATTATCACATTAATTAATTATCCTTCGTTAGCGGGAATTTAATTAACGTCTGCCCAGCCCGTTCTAAGGAAACTCGGTGCTGACACCGGAGTGAGGCGGGATTTGGGATTTGGGGATTTGGGAATTTGGGGATTTGGGAATTTGGGGATTTGGGAATTTGGGGATTTGGGAATTTGGGAATTTGGGGATTTGGGGATTTGGGGATCACGGGGGTGGGAAAAACTCAACCCGAAAGGGGCCTGAGCGGAACAGGGCATGGAATGATCCAATCCCTATGGATAGATACAGCCCGGAGATGTATCCATGGAAAAAAATCCATGGAAAATAGGGGGATATAGGGTTTTGATATTCTTTTTATATTTTTTAATTTTTTAGTTTTATATATTTTATATTTTAAAATATTTTCAATATTTTTCTATATTTAAATAATTAAATATATATAAAATATATATTTATATTTATACACTGATACATATATTTAAATTAAATATATATTTATATATTTATATAATTATATATTTATATATTTATATATGTATATAATTATATATTTATATATTTATATACAAATATACAAATATATAAATATATAAATATATAAATAAAATTATATATTTATATATTACAGGGATTTGGTTATATATATTTATATCGATATATTTATATGATACAGGGATTCAGTAATATATAATTATATTGATATTTTTATATAATACAGGGATTTAGTAATATGTATTTATATTGATGTATTTATATAATATAAGCATTTAACAATGTATGTTTATATTGATATATTTATATAACACAGGGATTTAACAATATATATTTATATTTTTATATTTATATAACATAGAGATCTAGTAATATATACTTATATTGATATATTTATATAATACAGCGATTTAGTAATATATATTTATATTGATATATTTATATAACATAGAGATATAGTAATATATATTTATATGAGGGATTTAGCAATATATATTTATATAAAGTCTATATATTAACACACTTCAGGGATATATTAATATATAACAGATATAATGATACATAATTGGGCTATTAGACAGATAAATCTATATTAAGCTAGAACAATCTATAATTTATATTATTATAATACTTATTTAAACACTTGGCTGTCTACAGTGGAGCTCAGACCATTTCCAGCCTCTTCCCAGAAACTCAGAACAAAAAATGGGATTTTTGGGGAGATTTTGGGATGAATTTTGGGGAAGGTTGTGGTGTCCAGCCCCCGGCCGTGTCCTTGCAGGGCATCCTGTTTGGGACAAAAAATGGGATTTTTGGGGCATTTTTTGGGGTGGATTTTGGGGAGGGGAGCAGTGTCCAGCCCCCGGCTGTGTCCTTGCAGGGTATCCTCTTTGGGACAAAACATGTGATTTTTGGGGCAGATTTTGGGATGAATTTTGGGGAGGGTTGCGGTGTCCAGCCTCCAGCCATGTCTTTGCAGGATTTCCTGTTTGGGACAAAAAATGTGATTTTTGTGGCATTTTTTGGGATGAATTTTGGGGAGGGTTGTGGTGTCCAGCCCCCGGCCGTGTCCTTGCAGGGCATCTGGCCGCAGGATGTGCAGGGCCGTGCGGGATTTCCTCTTCGCGCAGACGGTGCAGGCGCCGCTCGAGGTTTACTCGGAGTGGCTCAGCGTGGGCCACGTCGATGAGTTCCTCACCTTCGTCCCTGCCCTCGACAGGAAGGTGCCGACCCCGCAGCCTCCCCGGGGCTCTGCAGCCCAAAAATCCCCTTCTCCCGTGGTTTATCCTGCCCGGGGGATGGAGCTGGGCTGGGCTTGGGATCACTATGAGCATCCCACAGCCTGGATTTGGGATCACTGTGGGCATCCCATGGCCCTGGGGTGGATTTGGGATCACCGTGGGTATCCCATGGCCCTGGGGTGGATTTGGGATCACTGTGGGCATCCCACGGCCTGGATTTGGGATCATTTTGGGCATCCCCATGGCCCAGGGCTGGGTTTGGGATGGCCGTGGTGCCTCCCAGCTGGGCTCTGGGGTGTTTCGTGACCCCACAGCCAGGGGTGACAGCCGGGCTCTGTCCCGCAGGGATTCCGGCTGCTCCTGGCCAGCCCCAACGCCTGCTACAAGCTCTTCAAGGAGAAGCAGCAGCAGGGCCACGGGGAGGCCACGCAGTTCATTGGTGAGGGGTGGCCGGGGACGTCCCTGGGGGAACGGCGTTCCTGCTGTCCATCCCTCTGTCCACCCCTCTGTCTATCCCTCTGTCCATCCCTCTGTCCACCCCTCTGTCTATCCCTCTGTCCATCCCTCTGTCCATCCTTCTGTCCATCCTTCTGTCCATCCCCCCTGTCCATCCCTCTGTCCATCCCTCTGTCCACCCCTCTGTCCATCCTTCTGTCCATCCTTCTGTCCACCCCTCTGTCCATCCCTCTGTCCATCCTTCTGTCCATCCCCACTGTCCATCCCCTCTGTCCATCCCACTGTCCATCCCTCTGTCCACCCCTGTGTCCACCCCTGTGTCCCTCACCGCCCCCACGCCCCCAGGGCTGAAGGGCAGCGAGCAGAGGAGCATCG